GTGCCAACAGTGCCTCAACTTCCTCCGGTGAGCGCTACCTGAGCATGGCTGGCTTGCATACTTTGGCGCTCCGGAGTGCCACTGAGCGTAAGCTTGCTTGGGTGTCAGAGAGACAGGAGAACTGGTCTTCTGTCCAGTCCTTCTCCAGTGCCTTGGCGAGGGCCTCTATAACCGCTGGGGGCCGTGGGAGTTGGAGGGTTCGTAGTACGGGGGGCTGCCGAGGTGGGGCCGATGAAGTAGTGGCCACCGCCTCAGCGTAAGACCGAGTTATCCCGGAGGAAGGGGGCGGTCTCCTCTACGGGCCTGGTGGGAAGTGGGTCCTTCATACGCGTCCGATGGTGTCGTCACAGTCGGGTCTCTTCTCACCGAAGGCTTGGGGGCAGCAAGGCTCCTGGAGCCTAGGCGGAAGGCCCAAACCGCTGATGGATGCCCGTCGCCGGGGTCTGGAGGGGGGGGCGCTGTGGCGTCCCGCCAGGTAAATGGGCTGGCCTGGGCATGATGAACACCACGGGGAGTCCGAGAGGGATCGAAGGCTGTAGAGCGAGGGGTCTGAGCAAATCCTGGTCGACGTGCCGGCGGGAATTGCGAAGGGATCTCGGAATCTAGGAAAGCGGCTTCACCCGCAGAAATATGGGACATTTTAAATCAGATTTTTCGCAGTCGCGGGAGCGAAGCAGGAGGGCACTCCGTACTCGTACTCGAGCTCACTGCTGCCAAGCGACAAATGACCAACTGACTAGGGCTGATCTTCGCCCAGTTGCGAATTGAAACAGCATGGGAGGCAATGTATTGTGCTCCAAGCAACTAAGTTATCATTTTAAGCAACTAGGTAATCATTTTAAAAGACATGGAAGCTTTTAGCTTTCTCTGGTGTGTTTTTTGAGGTGTTATTTTAGGGTACACGGGCATCATGGATGTCGGAGGGGTAGAACGCGCTGTAGTTGCAGCGATCGATGCGGACTTTACGCTTGAATATCGCAGGTACACGTTTACAAAGTCGAAAGGGAAGGGTTTAAATTTGAAAATAAGGTTCTATCTGTTTATTCCGACTGAAACAGACGATGTCATGAGACTGCAAATCTCCAAAAGTCAAGGACTTAGTATTTCCCTCCGCACTTTTGAAAAAAAAAAATCCTACAAGTTTTTAGAATTTAACGAGGTATTAAAGGGTTCGCAAAGTGAAGTAAAAGCAGGTAATTTGCATTTTTGGTGCGTGTATTTGTCTTTTCTGGTGCGTAGTGCCAGAAGACCGAGGATTCGGAAGAACACGATACATCCGATCACGACGCCGAAGTTGCGGGCGATAGTGTCGTACTCCATGCCGAAGTACTCTTCCGTGTACTCCTTCACCGTAATGTGACCAACATCAGCCGGAGAATCCGCCATGGGTGGCAACCGAGGTTCGAGCCAATATTCTCATCCATTTTTCGTCGTCTCATTCCACGTCGGCAACTCGTCGCAATCGGCGAAAACGAGCGCCACCATGAACGACAGCGGAAACTTCATCGGCGAGATCTCGTACACCCACTGGTAGCCCGAGGGGATGGCGTACGCCGGTGGACTGGATCTCATAACAAGCTGAACAACAGAACTCCGATATTAGCAGCCACTTCTTCGCTCGGGAATGCGTAGGCGAACATCATTCCCATACACATTTCCATGAGTATTGCGAGCGACAGGATGGGCCAGAATAACACGGCAATGACGAAGCCTTAGAACATTACGAACGGGTAGAATATCACGGTCAAGATCAGCGAGCTCATAAAGCAATTGGGGATCTCAGCCAGCGTCGATCCCACAAAGTACCAGAACGCGTTGTACATATCTGACGCACGCTCTCGGTAGAACGAGGCATGTATAGAGCACGACAGCGGCAGGACACTCTGGAACGCTTTCATGCAGTTGAAGAGAGCGGCGATGAAGATCATTCCGACACCCGAATTTAGTCCCGA